CCTTTTCCAAACTTTAGCCAAACTAACCAAAATACAACATATTTTAGGTCATTAACATGACAAAACCCTACTTTAAAAAAATTATTCTTTTTAGATATATATGAGACTGGAATATATTTTGACATATACATACATGGAGGATAACTTATTCTAATTAGGATCTCATTCTTATGATTATACATGATATGGGGTTTAACTGGTCATGTATTACTAATAAGTGAACATAAGAAAGTTATGGACATGACTTATTCTGTCTTTCCTATTTTCATCCCTCTTCCCTTCCCTTCATTCCCTTTTGTCTAATCCAACAAACTTGTATTCTTCCCCACCTTGCCTCTTATTGTGTGTCAGAGAGAACATTCGGCCTTTTTTTGGGGGGGGGATAGCTTTATTTCACTTAGAATGATAGTCTCCAGTTCCATCCATTTACCAGCAAATTCCACAATTTCATTCTTCCTTTATGCCTGAGTAATATTCCATTGTGTATATACCACATTTTCTTTACCCATTCATCTGTTGAGGGGCATCTACTTTGGTTCCATAGCTTGGCTATTGTGAATTTAGCTGCTATAAACACTGATGTGGCTGCATCATTATAGTATGCCGATTTTAAGTCCTTTGGGTATAAGCCAAGTAGTGGGATAACTGGGTCAAATGGTGGTTCTATTTCAAGTTATCTGAGGAATCTCCATACTACTTTCCAAAAGTGGTTGCACCATTTGCAATCCCACCAGCAATGTATGAGTGTACCTTTTCCCCCATATCCTTGCCAACATTTATTGTTTTTTGGGAACAATACACTTTTGAATGATAAATGAGTGATAGAAGGAATCAAGGGAGAAATTTAACAATTCTTCAGCTAAAAGGAGAATAGTGATACAACATACCAGAACCTCTGGGACACTATGAACACAGTTCTAAGAGGTAGCTTTATAGCTATGAGTGCCTATGTAAGAAAATCAGAAAAATTCCAAATGATCAACCTAATGATGCATCTCAAGGCCCTTGAAAAAGAGAAACAAACCAATTCCAAATGCCATAGAAGAAAGGAAATAATTAAAATCAGAGCCACAATAAATGAAATTGAAAATTTAAAAAAGGATTGATAAACAAAGAGTTGTTTTTTAAAAGATAAACAAGATTGATAAGACTTTAGCCAAACTGAACAAAAGAAAAAGGGAGAAAACCCAAATTAATAAAATTAGAGATAAAAATGAGAAATCACCTTAGATATCACAGAAATCCAGTGGGACCCTAGGGAATATTTTAAAAATTTATATTCCAATAAACTGGAACACCTAGAGGAAATGTATACATTTCTAAACAAATCTGATCTGCCAAAACTGAATCAAGATGACATAGAAACCTAAACAGACCAATAACTAATAATGAGGTAGAAGCAGCAATAAAAAGCTTTCTAACACAGAAAAATCCCCGGATCAGATGGATTCTCAGCTGAATGCTTCCAAACTTTTAAAGAAATGATGCCAATACTCCTGAAATTATTCTATGAAATAGAAAAGGATGGAACACTTCCAGATTCATTCTCTGAAGCCAATATCACACTCATACCAAACCAGATAAGGACATCAAGAAAAGTATAGACCAATATCCCTGATAAACTTAGATGAAAAAATAATAAAATATTAGCAACAACATATTAAGAAGATTACATACAATGGCCAAGTTGGTTTTATTCCAGAGATGCAAGAATGGTATAATAAATGCAAATTAATAAATGTAATTAGTCACATAAATAGAATTTAGGACAAAAAATCACTTAGTCATCTCAATAAATACAAAGAAAGCCTTTGACAAAATTCAGCACCCATTCATAATAAAAAACACTGAAGAAATTAGGGATATAAGGAACCTACCTCAACATCATAGAGGCTACATATGAAAAACACAAATCAAACCTCATAGTAAATGAGGGAAAATTGAAAGCATTTCCTTTAAAATATAGGACAAGACAAGAATGTTTACTCTCACCACTTCTACTTAATATAGTGCTAGAAATTCTAGCAGCACAATTAGGTAAGAGAAGGAAGTGAAAGGAATAAAAATAGGAAAGGAAGATGTCAAATTTTACTATTTTAGACAATATGGTCTTGTATCTAGAAGATCAAAAAACTTCACCAATATATTGCTAGAGCTAATAAACAAATTTGGTAAAAACAGCAGGTTACAAAATCAACATGTGAAAATCATTAGCTTCCTACATACCAACAATGAAGCTGCTGAGAAAGAAATCCAGAAAACAATTCCATTCACAATAGCATCAAACCAACCAACCAACCAACAAAAACCAACCCGAGAATAAATCTAACCAAGGAGGTAAAAGACCTCTACAATAAATCCATAGAACATTGAAGAATGAAATTGAAGAAGACCTCAGAAGATGAGAAGACCTATCATGTTCATAGACAGGCAGAATTAACATTGTTAAAATGGCCAGACTACCAAAAGCCATATACAGATTCAATGCAATTCTCATCAAAATACCAATGATATTCTTCAAAAATCTAGAAAAAAAACAGTTCTAAAATTTATTTGGAAGAATAAAAGACCCAGAATTGCCAATACAATTCTAAGCCAAAAAGATAATGTTGGAAGCATCACAATATCTGACTTCAGATTATCCTACAGAGATATAGTAACAAAAACTGCATGGTACTGGCATAAAAATAGACACATAGACCAATAGTACAGAATAGAAGACACAGAGACAAACCCACACATCTTTAGTCATCTTGTCTTTGACAAAAACATACATTGGAGAAAAGACAGTCTTTTAAACAAATGGTGCTGAGAAAACAGGTTATCCATATGTAGAAGAATAAAACTAGACTCTTATCTCTCACCCTGCATAAAAATCAACTCAAAATGGATTAAAGACTAGGAATTAGAGCAGAAGCTATATAATTCTTAGAAGAAAGCATAGAGTCAACACTCTAGCATGTAGGCACAGGCAACATTTTCTAAATAGGACCCTTAAATCTCAGGAAATAATGCCAAGAGTTAATAAATGGGATGGCATCAAATTCAAAAACTTCTGCACAGCAAAGGAAACAATAAAGAATATGAAGAGAGAACCTAAAGAATGGGAGAAAATCTTTTCTAGCTACTCTTCTGACAGAGGGTTAATATATAGAATATATAAAGAACTTAAAAAACCTTACACCAAAAATCAAATAACTCAATTAATAAATGGACAACATGAATAAATGAGATACTTATCAAAATATTACAAATAATAGCCAACAAATACAAGAAAAATCTCAGCATTATTATCAATTAGTGAAATTCAAATCAAAACTACACTGAAATTGCATGTGACATCAGTCAGAATGTTAGTCATCAAGAAAACATATAATAAAAAATGCTAGAGATAATTTGGAGAAAAAGGAACACTTTTACACTGTTACTGGATTATAAATTAGTAAAACCACTATGGAAATCAGTATGGAGTTTCCTCAAGAGGCTAGCATCAAACTACCATATGACCCAGCAGTACCACTCCTCAGTATTTATCCTAGAATTAAAGTCATTGTACCTCTACAGTGATACGTGCATACCCACGTTTATAGCAGTACAATTCACAATACCCAAACTATGGAACCAATCTAGGTATCCATCAGCAGATGAATGGATAAAGAAATTGCTGTATGTATACACAATGGCATTTTATTCAGCCATAAAGAAAATGAATTGATGTCATTTTCAGGAAAATGGAACTAGAGATCATTATGTTAAGCAAAATAAGTCAAACTCAGAAGGTTAAGGGTTGTATATTTTCTCTCATGTGTAGAAGCAAGAAAGGGAAAGTAACAACAACAACAAAAAAATGGCGGAGGTGGATCTCATGGAAATCAAAGGGATAAGAGTAGTGGAAAGGGACCAAGGGGTCGAAGATGGGGACGGAAGGGGAAAGTACTGGGGGTGATATTGGCCAGAACATTGTTATATTGGTACTGAGTGTATATACAAATGTGTAACAACAAATCCCGTCAGTATGTACAACTACAATGCACCAATAAAAATATGGGGGAAGAAGATCTTGGAGCAGAAGGATCGTTAATTTAAGGGTAAGATGATGGCTTATGAAAGAGGGTAATGACAACCAGATAGGAAGAAAGGCAAGGGGGGCAAATATGGGCTAAAGTATGAAGAATAAATAAAAAGGAGAGATTCCACAAAGTTATCTAACCTTGATGATTGGGAGGTACAGGATCATCATCAATCAATGAGTTGGAAAATGAGGTCATTGGCTAGGGGTGGGGATGCTGAGGTTTAGGACTTGGGAAAAATGAAATAAACTGAGATAATGTGAGGGTCAGCTTGAGGCCATTAAAAATAATTGAGCAGCACTGGGAACATAGCTAATGTCATGTGATAGAAATTTACAGTAGAATCTATGGGCTCTTACATGACCTGTAGCAGGAACACTCAAGAGCATAAAGAAACAAAATAGCTGGTTTTTAAGGTTGGAAAGCGCAAAGAGGGAGAACAAGTACAACTGCAGCCTGAGTCATTTTAGAGACTGAGAGTTTAGAAGTCCTGGGTGATGTGGGGTGACTTAATTAGAGTGGTGCTTTACCTTTAAGGAAAAAACCCTGAAACTTCAAGCCCTGCTCTGAAACTGTTTTGAGGATTCATTGGGATTTAAGTACCTAATAGTTAAATGGCCACTAAAAGATTTATTAGATATTCGCTTTAACTGACCCCAGGGGTGTCCTTCAATTTCACTCAACAGCTGCAGTTTCTTTGAACTTTTTTCTTTTTTTGGCTCTCCCACAATGCTGATCTATATAAATGATACATAAATCAAAGTGATGTTTTAATTCACTAAGTGCTTGAGGGGAAGGTGCACTGGAAATACAGATATTCCACGAGAGCTGATTTGTTACCCCAGCTGTACATGCCACTCTGTACTCTACACACAGCCACATGGAAACCAATCCTAATGCACACAAAGAAACTAAGGAAAGATCTCTTACCTCTAATTTTTGGTTTAAATTGCTCAGTTCAAAGGGCACTTCTTCTTTATGAGGTATTTCTTTTCGGTGAACTTTGTTTTGTTTCATCTGATGTAATCTCAGTTTCTCAAAGCTATTTGTTAGTTTGGAAAACTGTAAATTATAGAAAACACTAACATTTTACTATTCACAGTTATTTCTAGCTTGATTTCACAATATTTCTTTTCTTGTGTACCTCTTCAAAAATTTAAGTCATGATTTGAAAGTGCAGTAAAGCTTAAATGTTCCAATTAGTGGAGATAGAACCAGTTATTAAAACTCAATTATTGAAGCTGAACATGATTCATCTTTGATGTAAATTTGGGAATTCATTAACTGCACAATTAAACAATGATTCATTTGATAAATGTTTTGTTCAGATTTGTTTTAACCATATGTAGTAAAGCCCACAATTTTGAAAAACTAAGTTTTTTCTTACTTTTATTTAGTGTCATCTTGTGTTGACAGTTTTAATTTCAGTAACTCAATCTACAAAATAAACAGTTTATGCTTCATTCATGAAAACCTAATATTTAATTTAAAATAATACTTCCTATAGGCATCATCAACTTCTGTGAGGAAATTTCTATTTTTTTTAGTGAAATAATTACAGGTTCACAGGAAGTTGCAAAGTTATTACAGAGTGGTTCTGGTTTTAAAAAACTGTTTTACCTAGTTTATCCAAATATTTACACCTTATTGAACTACAGTAAAACATCAACCCCAGGAAGGTAAAACTGGTCCAATATGTGTGTATGATTTAATGCCACTTTATCACATGTGGGGATTTGAGAGACCACAAGTATAAATAATATTCAGGACTAGGACTTAAGGGTATAGATCAGTGGTTACACATAAAGTTCTGGGTTCAAACTCCAGAGCCACCCCCCCAAAGAAAACAAAAACAAAAACAAAAACCCCCAAAACAGAACTATTTAATCTTCACAAAGATCTCATTCATGGTACCCCTTTAGAGTCTCACTTATTTCCCTCATTTCTTATCCTGCCAACTACTAATCTGTTTTCCATCTATATAATTTGTTACTTTGACTATTGTAAAATGAAATCATATAATACATAACTATTGAAATTGAAATTTTTTTACTCAATTTAATGTCCTTGAGATTCATGTATATTTCAATAGATTGTCATTTTCATTGCTGAGTAGTATTCCATGATATGAATGTATAACAGTTTGTTTAACCATTCACGTAGATTGAATGTTTTTTTTTAAATATTTTCTATTTTGGGGCTGGTACAAATAAAACTGTAAACAACTATGTCTATATTTTCTGATATTGAAGTAACCATTTCTGGGTTTTTTCCTCATAAAATTCTACTGAGGTATATTCCTATTACATAGCTATACCCCATTTTGTTTACCATTCATCAATTGATGGACATTTGAGTTATTTTTACTTTTGAATATTATGAACAATGCTGCTATGAACACTGGTATATAAGTTCTTGTGTGGATATATGTTTTCATTTCTCTTGGGTGTACACTTAGGAGTGAAATTGCTGGCTCCTAAAGTAAGCTAAGTTTGACTTTTTGAGGAATAACCTGTTTTCCAAAGTGGCTGCACTATTGTCCATTCTCACTCAAAATGTATAGAGTTCCAATTTCTCCATATTTCACCAACACTTGTTATTGTCTGTATTATTAATATTATTTATTATTATTCCTAGTCATATGAAGGGGTATCTTATTATGTTTTTTTTGTTGTTCTTCTTCTTCTTTTTAGATATACATGACAGTACAGAGTATTTTGACATATATACATGGAGTTTAACTTATCCAAATTAGGATCCCAATCTTGTGGTTGTACATGACATAGAGTTACACTGGTCATGTATTCATATATAAGGGTAGAAAAATTATGTCCAATTCATTCTACTCTCTTTCCAATTCCCATCCCTCCTCCCTTTTTTTCATTTAAGTTTGTGTAATCAAATGGACTTCTAATCTTCCTCCTTGTCCTCTCCCTTGTTGTGGGTTAGCATCCACATATCAGATATTTGACCTTTGGTTTTTTGGGGATTGTTTTATTTCACTTAGCATGATAGCCTCCAGTTCCATCCATTTACCAGCAAATGCCATAATTTCTTTCTTCTTTATGCCTGAATAAATAATATTCTATTGAGTATATATATCATATTTTCTTTATCCATTCATCTGTTGAATGTTTTTTTCCCTCATAAAATTTTACTGAGGTATATATACTTACTTTAGTTCCATAGCTTAGCTATTGTTAATTGAGCTGCCATAAACATTGATGTAGCTGCACCACTAAAGTATGCTGATTTTAAGTCCTTTGGGTATAGAGGGAGGAGTGGGATAGCTGGGTCAAGTGGTGGTTCCATTCCAAGTTTTCTGAGGAATTTTCACACTGCTTTCCAAAGTGTTTGCACCACTTTGCAGTCCCACCAGCAATGTGTAAGTGTACCTTTTTCCTCACAATATCACTAACATTTATTATTGCTTGTATTCTTGATAATTGCCATTCTGACTGGAGTAAGATGAAATCTGTGTACTTTCAGTTTGCATTTCTCTAATTGCTAGAGATGTTGAACATTTTTTCATATATTTGCTGACCATTCATGTTTCTTCTTCTGTGAAGTACCTGTCCACTTCCTTTGCCCATTTGTTGATTGGGTTTTTTCTTGTTATTGTTTGACTTGGTGTTAAGTTTTTGAGTTCTTCATATATCCTAAAGATTAATTCTCTTTGTGAGATGCAGGTGGCAAAGATTTTCTTCCATTCTGTAGGTTCTCTCTTCATATTCCTGTTTTCTTTGCTGTGAAGAAGCTTTTTAGTTTGATACCATACTATTTATTGATTTTATTTCTTGTGCTTTAGTAATCTTATTGAGTAAGTTAGTTACTAAGTCAACATAATGGAGAGTTGGGCCTACTTTTTCTTCTAATAAGTGTAGGGTCTCTGGTATAATGCCTGGGTCCTGATCCACTTTGAGTTGACTTTTGTGCAGGATGAGAGATAAGTGTTCATTTCATTCTATTATATATGGATTTCCAGTTTCCTCAGCACCATTTATTGAAAGGGCTATCTTTCCCACAATGTATGTTTATGGCACCTTTGTCTAGTGTGAGATAACTATATTTATATGGGTTTGTCTCTGTGTCTTCTATTCTTTACCTATGGTCTCATGTCTATTTTGGTGCCAATACCATGCCGTTTTTGTTACCAAAGCTCTGTAGTATAATTTAAGGTCTGGTATTGTGATGCCTCCTGCTTCACTTTTTTTAGTAAGGATTACTTTGGCTATTCTGGGTCTTTTATTTTTCCAAATGAATTTCATGACTTTTTTCTATTTCTATGAATAACATCATTGGAATTTTAATAGGAATTGCATTATACCTGTATAGCATTTTTGGTAGTATAGCCATTTTGAAAATGTTAATTCTGCCTATCCAGGAGCATGGGATATCTTTCCATCTTCAAAGGTCTTCTTCCATTTCTTTCTTTAGTGTTCTATACTTTTCATTTTAGAGGACTTTCACCTCCTTGGTTAGATTTATTTCTTGTTTTTTTTTTTGATGCTATTGTGAATAAAATTGTTTTCCTGATTTCTTTCTTGGCAGCTTTATTTTTGGTATGAAGGAAGGTAATGATTTTTGCATGTTAATTACATCTGCTACTTTGCCAAATTTGTTTATTTGCTCTGGAAGTCTTTTGATGTAGTTTGATTGACTTTTCCTTAATGACTAATGATGTTGAACATTTTTTTTAATGTGAATATTGTTCATTTGTATACATTCTTTGGAGAAATGTCTATTTATCTTTGTCCACTTTAAAATTTTGTCATTTGTCTTTTTATTATTGACTAGCATTATGGGGTGGATATGGTCTGAGTGTGTCCCCCAAAGGTTCATGTGCTGAATTGGTTCTTAGCCTGATGATGCTGACAGATGGTGGAACCTTTAAGAAGTGATGCTTAGTGGAAGGTGATGAGGTTGTTAGGGCTACTTTCCTTGAAGGGATTAATGTAGTTCTTACAGGACCCTGCTTAATTCCTAATAGAGTTGTTATAAAAAGAACAAGTCTAGCTTCTGAATCTCTCTGGCTTTCTATTTTTCCAGGTGATTGCTCTCAGGGGCAGACTTCCACCATTGTGATGCCATCCATCATGTTTTGACACATCCAAGGGAGCCCTTACCAGAGGCCATAAGAGGGGCAATGGGGTTGCCTGATCTTGGATTTTCAGCTTCTAAAACTGAAATATTATATAAACCACTTATAAAATTCCCAGTCTCAGGTATTTTGTTATAGTGATGGGTAATGAAATAATAAAACATCATGTTCTTTTATTCTGCCCCATTTACAATATAATTGTCTTAAGTGTTTCCTCTATATCCTCCATATTAAGAAATACCTTAAATATAGCTGTGATTTTTTTATAATCAAACAACAGGAAACTCAAAAGAAGAAAAAAGTATATTGCTATTTTCCTACTTTTTTTTCTTCTAATGTTTTCCCTTCCTGATGTCTTCAGAATTATTTATTATTTTTCTTCTGCAAAGAGAAAACCCTTAAGCCATTCTTTTAGGGTAGGTCTACTAACGACAAATGCTCCGAGTTTTCCTTCATTTGACAATGTCTTGATCTCCCTTCATTTCTGAAGGATATTTTCACTGAGCATACAATTCTGTGCTCTTTCAGCATTTGAAATAAGTTGTCCCAACTTGCTTCTGGCCTCCATGGTTTCTGATGAGAGATCTATTATGTGAATTTGTTTTAAGGTGTCATTTCCCTCTTGTTGCTTCCAAATTTTTTGTTGTGGTTTGTTTCTTTCTTTCATGGTTTTCAGAACTTTGACTATGATAAGTCTTGCCATTGATTCCCCTGGGTTTATCCTGTGTGATGTTTACTCAATTTCTTGAAAATTTGGAACTTTCCAGGTACTATTTTTTTTAAATACTTTCCCACCTTTTCCTCTCCTTCTGAAATTCTGATGATGTGAACTTTCAGACTTTTGTCATAATATTGCATGTCCCCTAAGGGTTTATTTTCTTTTAGTCTTTCTGCTGTTCACATGGGGTAATTCTTATGTACTTATAGCCTATCTTTCCTACTGACCATTCCCTTTGTCTTCAACATTTTGAACCCCTCCACTAATTTTTTTAGTCTGATTACTTTATTTTTCAGCTATAAAATTTCTAACTAGTTCTTTAGATTTAAATTTATTTGCTACAACTTTCTAATTTTTTGTTCATTTCAAGCTTGTTTGTAATTACTCATTAAAACATTTTTAATAGCTACTTTCAAATCCTTGTCAGATAATTCTAACATCTGTATGATCTTGACATTGGCATCTATTGATGATGTTTTCTTATTCAACTTGAGATTTTCCTGTTTTTTGCTATCATGAAGCATTTTCTATTGAAACTTGGAAATTTGGGGTATTGTGTCATGAGACTCTGAATTTTATTTAAATTGTGTTTTAGCCATTCTAGTCTGACAATGTTCCTTCAGGGACCACCTTGTTATTGCCAGGTGGTAGTAGAAGTCCAGGTCTTGAGCTACTTCCACTGGTACCCAGAGGGAGATGCACCTTATTCCTGTAAGTGGGATTGAGAGTTTAGGGACCTCTAGCCTTTAGCTGAGGGAGGGTCATGAGTTCCTTCCTACTGCTTCTCATATGGCCATCTGTGCAGCGATACTCTAGTGATGGTGGTGAACTTGTTAGCACTAAGCAGTAACTGATCACAAGGTTCCTTGTCATACTATGAGAATGACGGGGAGGGACACCATATTACCATGAAGTGGGTGTAGAGACTAGGCTCCATATGGTTTCCAGTGACACGATTGGTTTAGGAAGGCCATTACTGCTGGTGATGAAAATCCAGGCCTCCCACTCAGTCTGCTCACATCTCCCAGGCAAGGGGCTCAGGCTACTTTGTTATAGCCTGGAGAGGTGGAGGTCTGGGTTTTCCACTCAGCACTTGTTGGTGGGGGTGGGGGTGGGGCTGTCTTACCTGTGGTGTTTGGGTGGAGTGGAGCAGTAAATGTATAAGAGTGTTTGATGTTGCCTCTTTCCTGGTCTTTTGGCTAAAGACAACAGGCTTCTGCTAGGCTTGTTTGCACCCACTGGTGTGTCTAATTTGCTAGCTTCTCTATCACCTAGTCTGGAGTAGATAAGGAAAAAAGAAACCCTAGGGAATTCACTGCTGTGTCATTCTTTGGGTCCCAGGGTTTTCAACCAATCTATCTTTTCTCCCCACTTCTCAGAGTCTTATGTTGTTTTTAACTGTATTCAGGAGGATTATAGGAAAAGTACTTATAGCCTATCTTTCCAGAAACAAAAGTCTCAAATAGTGATTTGATGTTTATATTGTTATATTCATAGAAAAAACCCAGTTGGTTTACTTAAGGTTTAAATCTTAGGGTTTTAGCTAGGAAAAACTATGCATAATTTCATAACTCGGACACAATTAGTGGCTGTTACTTAAATTATAGGCAAAATGTCCAGGTAGATTATCTAATAAATGTCATATAAGATTAAGTCTGATATGAGCATACCAGTTAAGTGATATCAAATCGTTTCATATTCCAGTATTAATGGCCAAATAAGGAGAAACATTAAATAATTTGGGCTCTATTAACAAGATTATCATATATGAAATCTTTGTACTCCAAGAAAAGTTAGTTATAAAGTGAATCAATCAAACCATATTTCCCATTGATTCATTTCCTAGTTTAAGCAAGGACGTAGCTAGCATCTGCTAGATTTGAGATGTCCAGATGATTACTGCCCTGTGTGATAACTGTGGTAAGGAAAGAAGACTTTTGCTTGCCAGTACAGTAGGAAAGAATTTGGTATTCCTCTCATGACATATGAAGAAGCACTATCACTTATGAAATAGCCTTACCAGTAATAAAGACCAGTTTTATTCTTTTAATTATTGATTTCATTATAGCAAGCTTCCACATTACAAATTTCCATAGAATTTAAGACATCCCTATTAGGTAGTAATAACCATGAAAGATAGTTTTGGTTTTTTGCTTCCCATTCACACAGCTAATAATTCTAATTTATTTAATCAACAAGCCTCTGTAGACCTAGAAAGCTATTTGTTTAGCACTGTGCTAACAGTTAAAGGACACAGAAGGTATAAACAACTGACAATTTAGTAAAAGGGACAAAATCAGTATATAAACAATGACAGGGGCAAACATATAATTAAACATGTAATTAAAATATACGAACAATCAGTTTTAATAAAATTAACACACTTTTATAGGAAAAACATATCAGAATGATACTGGCCAAATTATATTGTTATATTGTATGCATGTATGAATATAGCAAATCCCATCATTATGTAAAATTATAATATAGGCACAAAAATGTGGGAAAAAATATCAAAATGTTTAACACTAAATTGTAACAAGTTTTCTTACTTGAGCTTTTAGGGTTTGTAGTTGTCCTTCATAATTCTGAGTCATTGCTAAATTACATTTTTCCAGACTGTCCAACTTCTGTCGAAGTAATCCCACCTGCAGTAAGAATAAATTTTAATTTTGCTTTCTCTAAATTTTGCCTGACAAAATCAGAAAATGTGCAAAAGAGAGCATAATTTAAATAAAACTGCTGTACCAGACCAAGAATAAATATTTGTACTGCAGTTCTTAAAATAGCTATTAATAATTAAATTCACAAAACCCAAACATTGCCAGCACTATTCCAACAGATATACATTATGACAGTGCAATATGGATATTTAACAAAAGATCCTTATCACCATCACATTTTAAACTAAGATTTAGAACTTACTTACTTTGCATTATCTTTTGGGGAAATTATATCATCAATACTTAGGCAAAACCTCTACTAGCATAATTCATTTTTTTCCTGCCTGCAAAGTAAGCTCTGCTTTAGTGGTGCTATAAACAGCTGTTACATTTTTATAAGAATGAACATATTAAAAAGAAAAATGGCTACGGACAGTTGTTAGGATTTGGCTTATTAAATTTGTCTGCTTAAAATGTAGGTAAGGCAACTGTTTACATATCTGTGTTCTTACAGGTATAGAAGTAAGAGAATAATCCCTTGCATATGCCAGGACTGATAACTTCCTCTTAGGAGAAAGGAAACTAGATCCCCAAAACTAAGGTAACCATGCCAAATGATAATATAGTTAACTATGCAAATAACAAGATCTATTGAAAGGCCAATAAAGGTAGAAAAGTAGCCAATGAATAAATTAACTGATGAAGTTTTAATATATGATTAGTAAACATTTCTCTTATGCTTCATTCACTAACCTCACCCCCTTGCCAAATACAGACACACACAAGTCAGTGCTAGGTAAGGCATATGGTTTTCCTGAACTTCCCAGGCCTAAGAACTCTCTCACATTCTCTGACCACCAGTTTGGCAATGAGCAGCCCAGCTGGGTCTGAGGGAGATCCTGGAGGGTGGGTGCCTCAGCTGCACACACATCTTAACCATACTCTATTCTTCTTTGTCCTACCACAATCAATTCTTACACCTAATTTTCAGGAAGTATTTTTCTCCCAGATTAGAGGAGGCAAATGCTTTTGAACTCTGCCTTGAAGAAAGACACAGTTTTGATAGCCACTTCTTTGTTTCTATAGTAGCAAGCATTTACATCTTTGTTTGGAAACAATATTTATTTCACATATACAGTAATTTTTTTTTACTTTTATAGATGGCATTGACACTATATGACCATCTTCATCAGTAAGTATCTATGGATTTATTCTCTATGCTTATTTCTTAGAGTACATTAAGCATAGTATTTGTTGGCAGAATGTCAAGTAATAAATGCTGTTGCAGATGCCTGAGTAAAAGTATCTATAATGAAAAATGTTATAATACAATAAATATTATTTGTAAGAGTCTGATGAATTATGATTTATTAATACACGCATTAAGTACCTCTTGACCTTTCTGATCCAAACAAGTTTGTGCATTTGCCAACTCTTGATCCCGAAGATCTAATCGTGTCTCCAAAGCCCTCATCTTTCTTTCCCAATCCAATTTCTTGTTGCTTACCATGATGTCAATTTGTTCCATTAATTCCTGAAGCTCAGCCTCACAAGGAGAAGCTCTGGCAATTGTAGAAAAGTAAAATACATTTTAAAAGACTGAATTGTGGGGGCAAGAAAAATTATTAATTACTTGGTCTAGCTTGATCATTTTCTCAAATTATTCAATTATTTAAATAGGAAGAAGTCTAAAAGCTAGAGGTTAATTTTTTAAATTAAAACTAAAAGCTAATTTCAGAGCTAGTAGTATATATACACTTAATTTTTAAAAATAATGTTTCTAGAGTGGACTAATTATGAAAACTGGTAAGATTTAGCTGAAGGATTGTTACAAGTAAGTATATATGTACCTCTGTCTCATGTGTGTATGTGTGTGTGTGTGTGTGTGTGTGTGTGTAACTGTCCACACATCTTAAGAAGATTTTAGAGGCAAATTGGGACATCAAAAGAGCAAACCTGAGCTAGAGAGGACCAGATTCATGAGTACTAACTATGCTGTCATACTGCTTCTCAAAAATGGGGAACCTGGGCATGATGTCTATTTGGAAGAAATTTTGATCAGACAGGTGTGGACAGTGTAGCATAAGTCTTTAGACAATGGGAATACTATAAGTGATATAGATGGCATTGTATTTGGTCTAGAAAGGTCTATTGAGGTTGAAACTTGGTAACAGTGAATATTATAGACACTGAAATCTGGGAAGAAGACAGATTGCTAGGTCTTCTCAGTACTGGGTTCTTTTTCTAGAAAGTTGAATCTTCACAGAGAGTCCAGTCTCTTAGACTGGATAAGCAGGTGGATATTAAGACCTCAGACTTCAGTCGAGGGTCACAAAAATATCCTTATTAGGAAAGTGAATTATTTCATCATTCATTTCAATGGTGTTTATCAAGCTTCTAATACATTATTGCAGTAGAGAGGAGGGCAGGAGGAGAGGCAAGTGTGAAATAACATTTCCCCATTTAGTTTAACCAAATCAGAATTTTAGGGCTAAATAAGGATTATTTAACATTTTGGAAAAAAATAAAAATAAAAATGAGACCCACAGAGGCCCAAGGTCACACACAGCTTAATTGTTCAAAGAGCTGGATCCTAGGCAGCTATTTCTTACCTTTCATGCCTTCCTGTATATCACACAGCAGAAGACATGGTGTTATGGACAAGAACATGTTTAAAAAATAGAGCAGAAATTCATTCCATTACAATAGGGTTAGAAACAGGTGTCAGAACCTAATGGATTCAGAATCCGAAATCATTTCCTAAAATACCCAGAATCATCCTGGTTTATTCAACAATGTATTTACTGATTTTGATATCAGAGAGGTTTTAAGTACTATGAGACTTCAAAGTGCCATTTTGAAGTCTCATAGTAGTCCTGCAATAAGGCCCCAAAGCTTTTTCAACTTTAACTTAACACCTAAACCAAATCTGAGGAAATACAGCATACTAATTCCTCTATAAATAATTTGATTTATTTGAATTTAAATTATGATATAGAGCAAAAGTACAGAACTGGCCTGGTGTTCTCACAACTTTTTGTTGTTGTTATCAGGTATCATCATTTCCTACACATACATTTTGTATATTTCTTTTACTAGTTAAGCTCTGGAAAAAGGGGACTTTATCAGTTTGGTTCATCTCTATCTCACCAGAACCTAGTGCAATACCCTAGCACATATTAGATACTCAATAAAACTTTGAAAAAAGAATAAATGAGCTATTTTTTCATTACTGTCTCCTTGGAATATAGGAATGCCCCATGCTAATACATAAAAATGCAGGCCTAGAGTGTGGACATAATGTAATCTACCCAATTAATTTTATTAAATAATTTATTTATTAAATAATTAATTATTAAATAAGTGAATGAGTGGCTTACTTCCTGGTTATGACAATGGTATAAAAAAGTTAGAATATTAGACTCTCAGGTGGAAGGACTCTTACAAACCATCTAGTCGAACTGCTTTTACAGTGTGTGCATTCCTTCTACAAATACTTCTTGAGAAAATCATCTGGCATACAACATGAATCAGATTCATTAGATCTAGGACAGAGTCCAAAATTCTGCATTACTAACAAAAGTATCAAGTGATTCAATGCCTGCTGAAGTTTGTGATTTATTTTTGCAACATCACTGCGAAGAACTCACCCAGCCTATATCTGGATTCTTCCCTTAACTAATAGTTCCTGTCTGAGACTGCTTCTAGATGACAATAAGTTAGAATTTTTTTTTTATATTGAACAACTTTTCCTTGCACAGGTCCTAATTTGATCCATTGAGACCATTCAAAACTTTTCAACACAGAATGTTGAAGGTTAACATACTTGAATACAGTCATCAATGTACTGAATGCAGTTTTCAGTGTTCCCTGTCTTTTCTTCTCAATGTTAAATATTAGAGACTGAATATATAAATGAATGATGGCCAGACCACATGATAGACTATGACTTGCAACTTCTGCAACAACTAGTTTGCAGCAATCATGCCAGAAAGGTCAGAACTTGGTCACTGACTGCCAGCTTCCCCAATTTTTGCTCCCACTTCCAACTCACAACCAACTGGAGAAGGCCACATAGAATCTCCAAACTAGTCACATAGAAAGCCCTGCTTCTAGTTATTCTGTTCTTAGCTTCTCCATGCCACTAGTCTCCAGTCACAGCAGACCTGAAGCCTCGTGGGCCACTTTTTTTTTTCCCCACTATAAAGTTTTCTCATTTCCCTTCCTGTCTTTGAGTCTGCCAAGTAGTGATCATGGGTAATTACCTTGGTGATATAGCAAACTCGAAATAAATAGCTTTTGCTTGTTCTCATCTGGGTTATCTTGCTTATCCAAAAAATACCTTTGTTTCTTTTGATTGATACTAGACATTTTTCTCCACTGCTCTATACTCTTTACCCAGTTGCCTGGAAAATATTACATATTTAAAATAAATTTCTTAAATTAATGAAAAAATTAATAACTATTGTAATATTTTCAGCCTCTTCAAAATCCTAGTGATTTGCCTTTGAACAAGTTTTTTTTTTATTTCCTACTTGGAATGTACCTCTCAAGACTTTAACATAACACCATAGGTATGTCTCTTCAGCTCAGACAGGGACTCACATCTGTTGTTTTAGGTATCATATACTTTCATTCAACTTGATAGAGGTCACAATAGTTTAGAATTTTGGAGGGGAAAGGAAAAAGTGATATCTACTATTACAGGGTGGGTTTATTCTTTTTTAAATATTTTTTTAAGTTGTAGACAGACACAATACCATTATTTATTTAGTTTTATGTGGATTGAACCTAGTGCCTCACATGTGCTAGGCAAGCACTCTAGCACTGAGTCAAAATCCCAGCCCACCAGGTGCCATCTTATCTAAATTTATTTATTCTTACCTAAATTTATCTTTCTTTTTCCATGCAAGCTCTGAGTAAGCCACTTATTCACTATCTTCTGCTTGTTTAGTTTCTTAAGGGGGATCCAAGGGCAGGGCTTTACAGTCATCCCTATTGAATTTCAGTTTCACAGTTTCAGGTTTTCAGCCTGGGTAACTGGTTCATTAACCACTGTATGAGATTCTGGGAAAATTGACAGGAAGCCAACGGCTATCTGTGCATAGAAAGGGACATTCAAGGAAGGCAGAAGAAAAGACTGATGAATACATGCAGGTATCTTAGAAAGGAGGAGTCCTGAACACAGACCTAGAACAGAGATTGGGCTATCTCAGGTGTCCTAAATGAGGTGATATCTGAGCTTATATTTGGAATCCTGCTTCCATCAGAGAATGTCTTTACTAAACCATCCAGTTTTGGGTCAGCTGCAGATTAGCTATTTTATATAGAGACATTCACAACATTTATATATTAAAGAAATAGGGATATATAAAATATATACTTTCATGTACTACATGTGTATATAAAAGCAATTAATAAAGTGCCATCAAGAATAAAATTGAGGACAGAGCCTTGTGACATTCTATTATCAAGCCCTTCATGGTGACAGTGATCCATTGATTACTCCCCTTTATTATTATCAGATACTAATCCATTTAAATAACTTTGCAACTTTTTCTTTCTTTCCTACAAAAATGAAAAGCCCTGTAAAATATGATGGTAAAACTCAAATACAACAGCAAACTGTCCACATTCCTGTTCTACTGACACAGCAGCACCAGCACCCACCATGGCCACCATTCAGCATCTGGAAGGAAGATGGCAGCTGGTGGACTATAAAGGCTTTGATGGCTACACGAATGAATTAAGAGAGGGACTTACTATGAGGAAAATGGGTGCAATGGCTAAGTCAGATTGTATCATCACTCTTGAAAACCAGAAATTCATATAGAAATGGAAAGCACCTTGAAAACAACATAGTTTGTTTTTTTTTTTTTTTTTTTTTTACCCTGGGAGAGAAGAAACTGTAGCTGATGGCATAAAAACTCAGATGTTTTGCAGCTTTGTAGACAGCACATTGGTTCAGCATCAGGAGTGGGATGGGAAGGAAAGTACAATTATAAGAAAATTGAAAGATGGGAAATTAGTGGTGAAATGTGTCATGAAAAATGTCACCTGTACTTGGTTCTATGAAAAATCAGACAAAATTTCTATCATCACTGTGGACAGGAATTAATTGCAAGAATGAAGAAGCTTAGTTCAATGAGCAAATCTCCCTACTGCTGCTGCTTTTTTTTTCATTGCTGTGTTCAATTATCTCTTTATCATAAACATTTTACATGCAACTTTCAAAGTGTTGGTGTAACTAGTATAATCCCTTCAGTTAGTAAATATTGAATGTATTTGTGGTTAAAAAAAAAAATTCAAATACAACTCTTGTTTCCTTGAGGTACCAACATATTAATCCTATAAACTGGGACCCGTCTAGTGTGTGGAACTTAACTTGCTTAACATCTCTTAAGAACATGTGTCTGCTAAAGGATCAACCCCACCCCAGTTTATGATGCAACTCCTAAGCAGCTTATAAAATTCCTCTTGCAGGCTATAAAGCTGCTCTGTGAGTGCTCGACTCGCTGCTGCTCTCCTCTGAGAAACAGCCTTGTCGGTTTGCCTCATGCTACTGACAATAAATCTCTTGTGAGAGACTCTGGCGCGTGGTGTGGTCTTTGGACTTTGTGTGGACTCTGCGAGTGTCCTTTCACACTGCCCTTTCTCCATTGTATACTCCTTTGTTAAAAATCAGTTGGCTGAAAGTAATGCTTTGCTGTATTGTTTACTGATGTCTTAGCATCATCCTGTTCTATGTATACCTTGTTCAATCAACTACTATCTGCTGTGTGGACCTCTGGACTGCTCTGATGCTGAATGCCCTTAACTGTTCTGTCCACATCCTACCTGATAACAACAAGGACTTGGGGTTACTTCCCCCAACTTTACCCTCTTTAAGCAGGAAGCAGCTTGGAGATGTTATCACCCATTTTTCCACAGAAACCGGATGTAGAAATTGACAGTGGGATAATGTAACAGTGGTTCATTTTATGCTTTCAACATAGCCCTTGCTGCTCTGCTACTGCAACTTATTTTTTAAATGCACATGTTTCTTTCTCTTCTTCTCTCCTTGCTCTTTCCTAATCTCTCCTCCTCCCTAATCTTGGGGGGAAGCAGGATTACCTTTCTTCCTTATTTTAGGCAGATTCATCTGTCCATGAGTACACACCCCTACCATAAGAATGAAGTAATCCAGACTTTGGAATGGTACTAGAAGATCTCAGAAATGATTATCTCCCAAATTAACAAGTGAATTACAACTCCAACAGAGAACATGTAGAATGTAATCTTTGAATTACCTCTTTAAAAGCCCCCTGTTCCTGCTGATGGACAGATTCACAGCCTCTGGGACAGGAGTCCCCTCTGTTTCTCCTTTGCTAGCAAAGCAAAACAACTTTCTTCCTTTTCCTCAAAAAAAAAAAAAAAAATCTGTTGGCTATAAATGTGTGGGGATATCTCTGGGCTCTCTGTTCTCTTCCACTGGTCTGTATGTTTTTATGCCAGTAATGCTGTTTTGATTACTCTTGTTTTGTAGTGTATTTTGAATTGAGTTGGTATATTGCTTCTTGATTTGTTTTTTATTGTTTTTGTTTTTGCTCAGCATTGTATTAGCTATTCAGGGTCTCACTGCAGTAAGAATGGCTATTTTCAAAGAGAAAATAAGAAGTGCTGGTGTAACAGGGGTTCACTTGATGTTTTGACTATATCCCTTGTGGCTTTGAAACTTAAATTTTTTTTCTTTTTCCCAATCTCCTTTTCCCTAAAATTTTCCTCCCTGATCTTTTTCTCTCTAATCTCATTTTCTCTGAATCACTTCTATAAAAGCCCCCTATATTCCTCCAGATGGGAAGAATCACAGCTTTGGGACAGGCCTCCCCTATGTTTCTCCCTTGCTAGCAAAGCAATAAACCTTCTTTTTCCTTTTTCTCAAAACTGTGTCTTCATTAATGGATTGGCAATGGGGACAAGCACTGAGCTTTCAGCAACACTGGCAAGGATATGAAGAAAGACAAACCCTTTTCAATGTTGCTGAAAATTTAGTAGAGTCATTATGGAGATCAGTATAGAGTTTTGTTTTGTTTTGTTTTTTAACCTGAAAACAGAATACCATATAATCCAGCAGTCCCATATACACAATGGAAATGAACTTGTTGAAAAGACACCTGAAATCCCATGTTTAATACTATTCACAATAGCAAGGGTATATAATCAACTAAATGTCTACCAGGAGATGAATGGATAAAGGAAATGTGGTTTATATACATAATAGAATTCTACTGAGCCACAAAAAGCATGAAATCCTGTTATTAGCTGCAACATGGGCGGACCTGGAGGACAGTGCAAAGCTAAATAAGTACAGAAATATAAGCAGTATGAATAGAGAGTCTATAGAATGGGAGCAAATTTTTAACATACATAGAGCACTAATCTCTAGGATATATACAGAACTCAAAAATCAAAGATTTCTTCTCACTCCAGTCAGAATGTCAGAGTACTAAGAATACAATGTCAGCTACTAAGAATACAAACAACAATAGGTGTTGGCGAGAATGTGGGGGAAAAGACACACTCATACATTGCTGGTGGGACTGCAAATTGTTGCAGCCAATCTGGAAAACAGTATGGAGATTCCTTGGAAAGCTTTGAATGGAACTACCATTTCACCCAGCTATTCCACCCCTCAGTTTATACCCAAAGGGCTTAAAAACAGCATACTACAGGGACACAACCACATCAATGTTTATAGCAGCACAATTCACAATAGCTAAATTGTGGAGCCAACTTAGATGCCCCTCTGTAGATGTATGGATAAAGAAAATGTGGAACATATACAAAATGGAATATTACTCAGCATAAAAGAGAATAAAATCATGACATTTGCAGGTAAATGCTAAGTGAAGTAAACCAATCCCAAAAAACCAAATGTCAAATGTTTTTTCTGATATAACGATGTGATTCATAATGGGGATGGGAGGGGAAGTATGGGAGGAATAGACAAACTTTAGATAGGGCAAAGGGGAGGGAGGGGAAGGGAGGGGGAATAGGGGTAGGAAAGACAGTGGAATGAGATAGACATCATTACCCTAGGTACATGTATGAAGACACGAGTGGTGTCCCTCTACTTTGTGTACAACCAGAGACATGATAAATTTTGCTCTATACATATAATATGAATTGAATTGCATTCTGCTGTCATATGTAACAAATTAGATTAAATAAAGTAAACAAAATTTAAAATAAGCACTATATGATCTCATTCATGTGGAATTTAAAAAAGGTTAATCTTAGAGCAGTTGACAGCAGAATGATGGTTTCCAGATACTGAAGGAGCAGTGAGAAGTGCAGAAGAGAAGAGATTGATCATCCAGCACAATGCCATTGTTGTTTGATAGGAAGAATAAGATTTTAATTTGTTCTTTTTATATAGACATAACAGTATATTTTGACCTATTATACATACATGGACCATATCTTATTCTAATTAGGATCCCATTCTTGTGGTTTTATATGATATGAAGATTCGCTGTAGTAGTTATTCATATATGAACATAGAAAAGTTCTATCTGATTCATTCCATTGTCTTTCCTATTCCTACCCATATCCCTTCCCTTCATTTCCTTTTGTCTAATCCACTGAACTTCATTTCTCCCCCACCCTTTAATGTGTGTTAGCATCCATATATTAAAGAGAATATTCAATCTTTTGTTTCTTGAACTTGGCTTATTTCACTTAGCATGATAGTCTCCAGATCTATTCATTTACCAGCAAAAGTCAATATTATGGCTAATATTCCATTGTGTATTTATACCAAATTTTCTTTATCCATTCATCTATTGAAGGGCACCTATGTTAGTTCCATAGGTTAGCTATTTATTGTGAGTTGAGTTGCTATAAACACTGATGTGGCTGTGTCACTGTAGTATGCTGATTTTAAGTCCTCTGGGTATATGTTGAGGAGTGGGATAACTGGATCAAATGGTGGTTCTGTTCCATGTTTCTGAGGAATCTCCATACTGCTTTCCATAGTAGTTGTACCAATTTTCAGTCCCACCAGCAATGTATGAATGTACCCTTTTTCCCATATCAGGAGAAATAAGTTTTGGTATTCCAGGGCACAGCAGGGTCAATATGATCAACAAAAAACACTATATGTCTTAAAATAGAGGAAAGGAATTTAAATTTACTACTCATAAAGAAATGATAAAAGTTTAAGGTGATAGATACATTAATTACCTTGAGTTGATCATTATATGATGCACACATAAATCAAAACATCATATTATATCTCATAAATATATAAAAACATTATGTGCAAATAAATAAAATACCCCCTTTTTTAAAAAAAAAAAGATGCATGGTTATTCATGGAGGTAACCCACATTGTGGCTGGTGGGCTCTTTAACACCCAAATCCTTTAAAATATAAGCTTACATATTGACTCTTAGAAAAAGCAGACCCTCTTCAGATGGACTGCTACAATGACTATATGGCTTGTTATCTACACCAAGATGGTTTTGAAAGTGAAAGGGGTATTAGTAATAATTATGCTAGGATACCAGGTGGAAACAGTGATTATTCTGGGAAAATTGAAATGTAAGGTCATCGTACTATTCATAGATCTGGAAAATGGAGGTGGAAAGACAGGTTTATAAAATAGAAAAGAGAAAAGGAAATGGAGAGTG